GTGTGTGTGTGGGTTGAAGAAACACCGAGGAGGGCAGAGGGCTTTCCCTGTACAACCTGGGCAGGTGGGGCAGCCCAGGTCCAGGAAAGCAGTCACAATAAAAATCATCCCCCATACTGCTGCTTGTCGTGTGTGTGTGTGTGTGTGTGTGTGTGTGTGTGTGTGTGTTGGGGGATTGACCCTGCTTGAAGATCACTGACCTGGTTCAACTTGCTGAAGCACAGTGCCCTCCAAGGGAGCACACACTGCTGAACAAACAATATTTATTGCAGCCCAATGGTAGGTCTGTTGCATAAAGGCCTTCTCTGCAATATTTCTGCATGGGAAGTAATCAGGGGTGAGTGTATCTAGTGGGTCATATTGTGGTGGCAACTGATGAGCCCTCTTAGAAAATTCAAAATCCTCACCTTTTAGAAATCAAGTCTCCTGCACACAGTTGGACATGCAGTTTTCTATTTGTGAGGGTTTTTCTTTTCTCCCTTCTGCAGGAAACTGGGAAGCAGTTATGTCTTCTTCTGCCATGCATTGCACAGATCTGGTTTTCATGAGGCAATCCATCAATGACTCTTTTCACAGTTTAAAACCACGAAAAGAAGTCTTGTAGCTAAACACTTGGAGCATCCTGAGCTCTTCCCCATGAACTTCCTGTTTAGAAACAGCGAAGTAATTACTAATTGTAATTATGTCCCGAATCTCTGCAGACAGCTGTCTGGATTTTTGTTGTTGGAAAAGCAGGTGAAGTCAATACTAATTTTTGGACTTTACACAAATCACCTGGGAAAATCCAGGCCCGATTATTCAATATGACAGTATATTTATGTACGCATCTTTTAGAAAATGAATTTTCCTGTACATGTTTTTTATAATGGCACCACTTATAAATGATATCTAATGATAGGATTTCTACTTTATAGAATCAAAATGGCCAACTGAGGGCTAAAGCTAAAGTCAAATCCATCTAACATAGTAACTTCTTAAAAATGCTAGAAGTATATTTTTTTAAAATCCCTGTTTTTCAGGCAGTTTTCCAACCATTTCCACTTTATTAAAATAGTCAGCATTGAGAAGAATATTGATGTGTTAAACACCATGATTGGTAGACAAAACAGTCCCAACCCCTCCCAAGTTGGCTCCTCCACACGGACCCTACGCCCCTGGGCTCGCACAGACCCACAGAAGTGACCTGGAGGAGTAGCTTTGTTTTAGAGCATTCAGACAAGCCCTTAAGAGTTTTTTGCTTCCTCTCTCAAATCAAGGATTTCCTGCTGTGAAAATAGTCCCCACCTTTTCAATATTAAACAGTTGGAGAAACGTCTGATACTTTCCCTATGGATATAAACATCCATCATGGATATTTCAGGGCACATGGAAAAATAAGTCCATGCCCAAATATGATATTTAGCATATCAACTCTAATGTGCTTATTCTGAAGCCAAATGTGACCAGTTTTATACCAAACTTCCCTCTCACCTGGCTTTGAGGTTGTATCTCCCAACACTTCGTCATTTAACTAAGCCACCTCAAAGTTTTTCTTATAATTTGTTTGGAGAAAGAACAGATGAAAAGGCATGTCAACGTCCACAATACTGGCAGGCTAACTCCTTGCTCCAGACCAATTCTGCACGAACTTGAGGAAGACTTGAGCAAGCAGTCAAACTTCAGAACACTTGCCCAAATACAATCTTCCAGTCTCTCTTAATTCCTTCAACCTTAACAGAAACCAGGCCATTCTTCCATCTTGGATTACAGAGCAGTGAAAGATGCCAGTGGATTTATTACTAAGAGACTGAATACCCTTTGAGGTTACTAAAATTATGCTCAAATTTTAAAATGCCCTGTGCACCAATACATTGAATATTCATTCATGGACATAAATATACATTCAGTTATAATAATCACAAAAATTTAGGAAAAATTACAATTCAAAGGGACTGCTGAAGCAATCAGCATCCTGGAAGATCACCTATAAAGTTTTTCTTCCTATTTCAAAGGGGAAATGCCTACCCTCTTCTGAGACTGTATAGGGAAGAAGACTTATGGCCTTTCCCTTGTGTCTGGAACTCCATGATTTGCCACAGTTGTGTGCTAAGAACTCTCTTGTGAAACTTATCCCTTGACAAGGATGGAGGGAAGTAGCAGGTATTATGTGGCTACTGCTAAATGTTATTCTTTTTTTTTTTTTGTAAAATAACTATACCGTCAAAAAGCCTTGCACTGATTGGCAATAGACTATTTCTGGCCAACAGAAGAGTAGG